TTAGAAATTTTAGAATAAATTAAGAACACAAAATAGGTAGTATCACCAATGGGTGGTTTCTTCCCTCAAAAAAAATCATACGCAAATACCCTATGCACATTTGCTTATTGTTCTAGTTAAGAACAGATTGTAAATTTCATGTAAAAATAAAAAAAAAATGTAATAAACATTTATTTAATAAATAATAAATAAAAATGATTATAAATTTACTACCTATGTGTCTATATTACAATAATTAGAAACCCACTTTAAAAACCAAAAGTATTTGAAAAGTATTCCAAATACTTTTTCAAAGTATTTGAGTAGTATTTGAAATACTATACAATTAAAGTATTTGAGTAGTATCTTAAATACTTAAAAAAAAATGTATTTGAGTACTTACTCAAGTACTTTCCAAAAGTATTCTTTACAGGACTGTTAGGTAGGTACTTATTAATTATTATTTATTTCCTATAGGCAATTGGTGATACAAATTACCAATGTTTTTAAAAATATATGTATAATACCATAATATACCTTTATTGAGTATGTATATATAATATTTATATATATATTCCTAACAATCCCTTGATCAGAACCCAATATATCTGTATCCTTAGACAGTGCCACCCCTGAGGCTCAGGCCGTTTCCCCTTAATAGTTAATAGATAATACAAATCAGGTCTATAGATATTACTGGAAGGGGCGAAGTAGTGTGACTTATTGGGAAGAAGTACTGCGACCAACGTCCAACAACCTCCATCGACTCTCGATACCATTGAAAAAAAAAAATTATTACTGGAAACTAAAATCCGTAACCGAAAATTTTTGAAAACCGTGGTTTTTGAAACCGATAAATTTAAAAAACCCTTTTTTGAAACCGAAACCAAAACCGAAAAATTTAAAAAACCGATCTTTAAACCTAAACCAAAACCAGAAAATTTTATAAACCGTTCTCAAAACCGAAACCGAAACCGTTAAAATTTGTAACGGTTTCTGTCCCTGTATTATACCGAATGATGACAGGTCACGACGATTAGACAGGGGAATCGTTATATATACCTACACAGTGAAACTTCTGAATAAACGGCAATCAAATCGAGTATCCACGCTGACGGGTAAAAGTTACCTACTAACTTAATTATACAATCATAGATACAGCATATTAAAGTTTTAGTCTCTTTGAATATTGTTGTATAAAAATTGTGTGTTCCCGCATCAATATTTTTTCCCAGTCTATCTGTAGTGGTCCGAACGCTCGACGTCGTCCATTATCAATGACGTTTATAAGCGTATAATACGAAACATATAGGTTAGGTTACAGAAGACTATAAACAATATCATTATATAAGACGACGAGTGACAAAGTGATCGAGACAAATTCGTCGGACAAACACCGTATCACTGACGTAGGTACTTTTCCAAAACCCTCCCCCCCAAAATTTCAAAATTGTCCATACATTTTACAACTGCCACCGATATTTAGTGTCCAACAAACGGAGAGTGTCGGAGATAGGTGTCAGAAACGATGTCGTGTTGGTTGTATAATAAGTATGTTCTATACGCGGTCGTGTGTATATAATCTATATACAGGCGTGTAGGTACCTATAATACACTCTCGAAGATTTATGTATTATTCTCTAGGGCTACAGAATTCCAAAATCCTAAATTTCAAACGCTTCAAAGGTACAATAACTTCTCTTATTCTTTTGCGTAGCGTTGCGTGTTTGATATATAATAATTTATATTTCAGACTCAAGTATAATAATAATATTATAGACGCTAAACAGTAAACACCACAATCTTTTATAGACGGTACATAGCCCGTGTATACTATATTATACATATAGTAGTAGTGTCTATATACCTATATATGTATACTGCATCGCGAAAAACAAGACTGCCGCTCCGAGGAATTTTAATTTTCCACCCACGATGAGGCTGATTCGATCGCTGTTTTAGTTGTGGAATCCACTACTTTGTATTATAATATAACTTTATATAATATTCGGGGATTCGAAGAGGAAAACCGGGATAACCCGTTTTTCGCCCTCCCGTGGTATTCTCGCAAAAACAAAAATACAACATAATAATATAATTATAATAAACTATTTTATCTTAGGCGACAGTGACAGCGAGCATGACGACTTCTGCGACGGTCCCTCCCCTGCTATCGTGGAAATGGGTAATAAAAATGGACTTCCGGAGCGTGTAACATAGATGTATTGAGCCGATGTGTACCTATATAATATAATATATTATTTTAATGCGAATTCCCCACCAGACCCCTCGGCAAGCGCGAAAATTCACGACGCTACTAGATTTTACCGGACGACCCTCGCCGCAGAGGTATGGTATAATGCAAAGCCGATTTACTACGCGAATATAAATTTCGCAAATTAACACCTTACGCCATCGGACGTTTATGACCGAATGCGCGCGATTTCCTGGCTGCAGCAAATCGTTATATATATTATAATACCGCCGCTCCATTAATCCTCTATACTTAGGCGTCCCATAACATTATTAATATTATTATTATTATTATTATTATTATATAGATGTAGGTACGATGCGAGCAGCAGGTTGTTCGCGCGACGGTTTCTTTTAACAACATTATCGTCGAACGTTTTTTTTTTATTTATTTGTTTTTTACCTATATATGTATCTCGTATTTACTAAGTTTAATATATATAGTATCGCGAACTGCTGCAGTTCGACCTCGCCAGTCCGATAATATCGCATACTATTACTCGTACAACTTGCACCGGCGTTTTATGCGTTTAGTGTATTATTACAATTTATTTATGAAATTCGTATTATACGCGCACAGTAACATCAAAAAACGCATTTATTATTCGCCAGTGGTCAGGTACGAATCAATTGGGGAGATATTCGCAGTAGCAGCTGTGGAAAAATTAATATTACGACAATTCGACATCAAGACAGCATTTCTGTACGGAGAACTACAGGAAGAAATTTACATGGTACAACCACCAGGATACGAAGATGGATCGAATAAAGTATGTAAGCTTCAGCGTTCCTCTTCTTTTTTCCTCATGATATCTTCAATCATGGCCTCTATGGTGTCCCAATTTTCCTTTGAGGCGAGCATTGTAGGAATCAGGCTCGTAGGGGTTAGGTCCATCCCCATGGTCATCTCCGCTTGTCTCCTCCTCGTGTGCCAAATTGATATTTCGTCGTCTACTGTGTCTCCGCAGTACCAGCATTCTGTCGATTCCAACTTCCCGAATCTTTTCAGGTACGCGGCAAAGCATCCGTGACCACTCAGTGCTTGGGTCAGATGAAAGTTTGTTTCTCCGTGTCGACGGCCTGTCCAGGTACTGATGTTTGGGATGAGGGCGTGTGTCCATCTGCCTCTTTCGCTGTTTTCCCATTCTGTCTGCCACGTATCCATGATGTTTGTGGGTGGTGTTACCAGTTCCGGGTTCCTCTTATTTGCATGTAGATTTTTCCTCTCTTTGGCGAGCAGGTCAGTGGGGCGATCCCCGTCATTACTGCTATTGCTTCCCTTGAAGTAGTACAGTATGCGTAGGCCACTCTCAAGCAGATTCGCCTCTGCACCTTGAGGAGTTCCGTCCAGCCCGCCACGCTCATATCTTCGGCCCATATTGGTGATCCGTACAGTAGGATGGAGTGGGCAACGTTGCTCAGCAGCTTCCTTTTGGTTGGCTTCGCTGCGCTAATGTTGGGCATTATTCGTGCCAGCCTTTGCACTACGTTCACCTCTTCACTCTGGCGTAGACCCATCCTATTTTGATTCGCCCTACTTCTGCAAGTTTGTGGGCGTCTATGCTCTTCATTTTCACCGTGGCTCTTTGGGTCCCCATGAAGGATTGTCTGATACTCTTAACTTTTATGCACTGGTCGTCTGCGTGTGCGCCCACCGCTTGGCGGATGCATTTTTCGACTTCCGTGGCCGTTGTAACGAGGTCCAGGTCCTGTATCTCTACGTCCTCGAATTTTATGAGCCCAAATATAAAAGTGACGGTAATATCGATAAATTTAAGGCCAGATTGGTCATTAAAGGTTGTTCACAGAAATACGGTATAGATTACCATGAAACATATTCGCTAGTGGTCAGGTACGAATCAATTAGGGAGATATTTGCAGTAGCAGCTATGGAAAAATTAATATTACGACAATTCGACATCAAGACAGCATTTCTGTACGGAGAACTACAGGAAGAAATTTACATGGTACAACCACCAGGATACGAAGATGGATCGAATAAAGTATGTAAGCTTCAGCGTAGTTTATATGGCTTAAAACAAAGTCCAAGATGTTGGAATATACGCTTTAAGAACGTTTTGAATGCATTTGGTTTACAATGTACCGAAGCGGATGCATGTGTATTTAATGCTTATAACTGTTGCAATAGCCAAGGCTAGGACCACACAATAATACAATATGATTACTATAGTATAACGCGTGGTGTACGTGGCACAGTATATTAATTACTATTAACGAGTGCCACAAGGAAAAGTTAGTTTCTAAAGTACTAGAGGAGCCATAGCGAATACTTAAGTGGGACCTTGTAAAGAACCATGTAATCTGACTGCTGTCTACTATATAAAGGCTCCCCAGCAGGGAGACCGGACACACTATTTCTGCGTGACAACTAGTTGACAGTATTCATGCTAGAGATATTTGTCTTAAGTTGTAACATTACTCTGAGTGCTTTAAAAGTATTAACCACTAACCTTTGGTCAATAAATTTATAATAATAATTAATTTGACTACGTGTTACTTCATTTGATTCCTTGTCAACCGAACTCCACATCTGTTTCGCAACAGGAAAAATTTGGTGCCGAAACCAGGGATCTTCACATACATCGTATCAACACGACGAAGATTCCTACCCGAATTCAATCAAAGAAAGCCCGATCAACTTCTCAAGAAAGAATTCAACATCTGCCGTGGACCAGCGAGTTTCTAGGAGTGTCGACATCAATTCAATGAAAAAATCAGTAATGTACAATAGTTGGTAAGCGTAACTTATGTCAGATGGTCCAATAAAACGTAGTAATTTAAACGTAACGTTAGACGATAGTTTTGAAATAGACGACCTTTCTAAAAGTCATATATTTAGTGTGGTATTTGGATCACCAGTTAGTATGACGGGAGGTAATAGCAACAGTGGGTCAGACGCGACTAATACCATGAATTATGCAGTTAGTATAGATAAAACTGTAGAGCATGTAATAAGAATGGTACCCGAATTTAGTGGAGGTATAGATGAAAAATTAGTATTCTTTATAAATGCATGCGAGTTAGTAGTAGATATAACTCCGGTGGCTAATCAGGACATAATGTTAAGGACAATCCTAAATCGAATAAAGGGTTTAGCTTACGAGGTAATAAAATACGAAAATATTACTAGTTGGGATATGTTAAAAACGTTATTAAAAAATACATATGATAAACCCAAAAATGCAGCGTATCTGCAAATAGAATTGTTTAGCGCGAAACAGCGATATAAAGAAACATTAATAAAATACGTTAATAGATTACGTAATTTGGTACAGGCTGTATCAGAAGGTAGCACACAAGGTAAAAGTGCAAGCGACGCATTAGCTGTTCAGAATAATATAAGAGAGCAGGCCTTGTTAGTATTTTTGGAGGGGATATCCGATAGAATAAAAGTAATGGTAAAAAGTAAAAATCCCTCCACATTAGAGCAGGCAATACAAATTGCAATAATTGAAGATAAAAATATAACCCCAAGCGAAGTAAGGTCCAATAATCATTTAAATAATAGAGCTAGAGGGGAAGCGCAAAAGTACAATAAAGGTAATTATCATATTATATGCGGAAAATACGGGCATTATGCTAGAGATTGTAGGTTTAAAAAGGGAAATCCTAGAAATGAGGGTAATAAACCTAGTACGAATAGACCTACAGCAAACGCATATTTGATATGCACGTATTGCTCGAAACAGGGGCACACTATAGATAAATGTTATAAAAAGATAAATGAAGATAGGCGTAGAAAAGGAGAAAGCTCCAATTCGGGAAACGGCTATCGGCCACAGGAATAGAAGGTCCCTCTGTGGTTAAGGATTAAGTGAGATATACGATATAAACAAATAACGGTCGCAATGGAAAATCAACACATTAAAAGTAGGTCAGTAAATTTTATAAATGAAACGTTGGAATTTTTAGTGGATACAGGTAGCAGCGTAAATATAATTCGTTTATCCGCATTAACGGCGGATACGAAGTTAGTACCAGGTGAAGCGATTTCTTTAAGGGGAATAAGTAATATGTTAGAAACCACCATAGGTATAGTAGAGATACCAATAGAAATAGGTACAGAAATATTCGAAAATATAAAATTTTATATAGTTAAAAACGATATGCCACTCATTAAAGCAGGTATATTAGGTAGACCATTTTTCCAGTTACAAAACACTACAATAAATATGCCATACGGGTGTAGCACACACACGTTAACATTAGGAAATCATATAAGAATACCTCCGCGTGTAGAATATATAATGGCAGTGGGTGTTGACACTGGGACGGTTAAGGATAATGAGGTAATAACTATTCAAAAGGGAGAGCTACAGGAACAAGTATTCATAGGCAACGTTATAAACATAGTGAAGGACGGGCACGTGCTAGTAAACGTCATAAATTTATCTGATGAGGAAAAAATAATACGACCGGTGCGATTAAGTCAATTAAATTATGAATTATATAGGGATCAATCGATAATGTATATTAACACTACCGAAAGTGAAACCTTGCCAAATTATTCTGAAAGGGTACAACAGTTAAAAAAAGAATTACGTACCGAACACTTAAATTCGGAAGAACGCGAAAATATTGAGCAAGTGTGTATAGATTTTATGGACATATTTCATTTAGAGGGTGATAGGTTAACCCACACCACGTCCATAGAACATGAAATCAGAACTCCTGAGGGGGAACCTCCCATATATCAGAGACAGTATAGGTTACCACATAGTCAAAGGGACGAAATAACGAAACAAATAAAACAAATGGAAAGCGACGGTATAATAGAACCTAGCAGTAGTCCATGGAATAGTCCTATACTTTTATTTCCGAAAAAAATGGATGTATCAGGAAAGCCAAAATTTCGTTTAGTAGTAGATTTTCGAAAATTAAAAAATATTACGGTAGGAGATAAAATTCCATTACCACAAATACAAGACGTGTTAGATCGATTAGGTAGGTCTAAGTACTTTTCTATTTTAGATTTAGCACAGGGTTTTCATCAAATTTCGTTAAATAAAGAGTCACGGGTTAAAAAAGCCTTTAGTAGTGACAGGGCATTGGCAATATACAAAACTACCAATGGGTTTAAAAAATAGTCCTCCCACATTTCAACGATTAATGAATAACGTTCTATGTAATTTAATCGGTTTAAAATGTTTAGTATATTTAGATGATACTATAATTTTTTCTACTGATTTACATGAACATGACAAACGAATTAGAAAGGTGTTTTCCCGATTACGTACACATAATTTAAAATTACAACCTATAAAATGTGAATTTTTAAGAAAGGAAGTAATCTATTTGGGACATAAATTAACCGAAAAAGGGGTACAGCCCGACGAACGAAAAATTAAAAGCGTTAAAACATTCCCTAAACCTACGACGGTAAAAGAAATAAAATCGTTTCTAGGATTAACAGGTTACTACAGAAACTTTGTACCAGAGTATGGAAAAATCGCGAAACCAATAACAAATCTATTACGAAAGGGAATAGAATTTACATGGACAACAGATCGTCAAGCTTTCGATAAATTAAAAAATATACTATGTAACGCACCACTATTACAATATCCGAATTTCGAACAACCATTTATTATTACGTGTGACGCCAGTAATTACGCGGTAGGATGCGTACTAAGCCAAGGTGTTATACCGGCCGATCTACCTATCGCATACGCGTCACGTACACTCAATAAAGCCGAAATAAATTATTCAACAACCGAAAAAGAACTAGTAGCTATTATGTTTGGTGTTAAACAATTCCGACCATACGTTTATGGACGAAAATTTACAATCATAACTTACCATAAGCCATTAACATGGTTATTTAGTGTCAAAGACCCAGGCAGTAGGTTACTTAGATGGCGCATGAAATTAGACGAGTTCGATTATGAAATTCAATACAAAAGTAGTAAAACTAATTTGAATGCCGACGCATTAAGTAGAATAAAAGAAATAAACTTAATCGAAACTACAACCACGTACGATAAATTTTGGGAACAGTTTAATTCTAAAATAATTATAAATACGCGAATAAAAGTAATAAGCGGACAAATAGCAAACGCACCTAAGGACTCAATAGCAGTGATAGATATACCTAAGGATAAAATAATAGGTAACGAATTAATCCAAACAATAACTAGAGAGGTTGACCTAACCAATATTAATACCATTATCGGGATATAGCATATTTAGAAAAAGACAAATTAATTTGTTTAGTAACTAAGGAAAAGGATAGCGACGTACCTACTTACGAAAATGTTGAAAGTGAAGCTTGACGGACTAATGATGTTAGCATTAATATAATAAGTAATAACACGACAATATGATTATGTATAAGTATAATATATAATAACGTACAACTGGACAATTAACCTGTGACTATACACACACACCGCGTACACTCGGTATGACAGCGTCTGTGCAAGTGAATATTACATACATCAAAGGCCCTATATATATGCACGACCGAGGTCATGTTACATCCGTGAGAGAGTGAGTCTTATGCTCGTACATAACTAGTTACTAAATTGTACACACGTGTCAAGGCTGACTACATGTACTACATATTAATTGTATATTTCAACACCCTCCCTCAATTAATAATCTCTTTAATTGTAGTCACTCCTATGGCTGACCGCAACTTCTCGAATCGTTCCTTAACCAAAGGCTTGGTTAGAATGTCCGCAATCTGGTCCTCTGTTCCAATGTACTGTAGTTGGAATTGTCCCTCTTCGTATTTCTCCCGTATGAAGTGGTACCGTACGTCTATATGTTTTGTCCTCTTATGAAACTCCGGATTCTTAACTAAACGTATAGCACTCTGATTATCTATAAATAAAACTGGTTGTTTGTCACCTGTTGTCGATAAGCTTGTTATCAACCGTGTAATCCACAAGATCCCTTTGACAGCTTCACTGGCCGAAATATATTCAGCCTCTGTCGATGATAACGACACACAATGTTGTCTCTGCGATGTCCATGAAATTATACTTGACCCGTACCTGAATAGAAATCCTGACGTCGAACGTCGTGTCTGAATGTCACCTGCGTAATCTGCATCGCTAAATATTTCTAATGACAATTTTGTTTTGTTATTAAAGTACAAGCCATAATTAAATGTTCGCTTGATATATCGTATAATCCGTTTTACCAAGTTCCAATGAGATTTAGTTGGTTTTGCTAAGTAACGACTAGCAAAGTTTACTGCATATGCTATATCTGGTCTTGTTACCTTTGATAAGAACAGTAAGCTACCTACTGCCTGCCTATAAGGAATATCTTCATTCAATATTTCCGTATCTTCCTTTTGTTCAAGTGTATGTGATTTATCTATCGGTATTGAAAGTTCCTTGACTTTATTCGATCCATCTTCGTATCCTGGTGGTTGTACCATGTAAATTTCTTCCTGTAGTTCTCCTTAAAGAAATGCTGTCTTGATGTCGAATTGTCGTAGTATTAATTTTTCCACAGCTGCTACTGCGAATATCGCCCTAATTGATTCGTATCTGACCACTGGCGAAAATGTTTCATGGTAATCTATACCGTATTTCTGTGAACAACCTTTAATGACCAATCTGGCCTTAAACTTATCGATATTACCGTCACTTTTATATTTGGTTTTGAACACCCATGCATTACGTAACGCAACCTTGCCCTGAGGCAAATTAACTAGTGACCAAGTGTTATTTTTGTGTAGTGACTTAATTTCATCACTCATAGCGTGCTCCCACTCGTTTTTCTGTGGGCCAGCTATCGCTTCATCACGATTTAGTGGTTCAACGAGATTGGCGACGAACGACGACACATTATACCTGATCGGCGCTTTTAATGTATCCCGATCACGTAGCACCATGCCACTCCTGTTGTCGACCGTCGTCAATTCGACCTTGACCGGATCGCCCTCGACTTGAGTCTGAGTATCTGTGAATTCTAATTTGTCTGCAATTATATTTTCCAATTTATTACCTTCGTTTTCGAATATGATATCTCTAGACATTGAAATTCTATTTGTTTTCGAATAATACACACGATAACCTTTCGTGTTATCCGAATAGCCAACAAATATTCCTTTTTCACTTTTAGGGTCCCACTTTTTACGTTTTTGTTTTGGTATGTGTGTATATACGACAGTACCAAAAACTCGTAAGTGTTTAATGTCTGGCATTACCTTATAATATAACTCGTATGGTGAGTTATTTTTAACTGAACTGGTTCCTGTTCGATTAAGCGTGTAAACAGCCGTGTTTACCGCCTCCGCCCAAAGTGATACATCCAAATTTTTCGCACAAATCATTGTCCTCGCTGACTCTACTATTGTACGATTTTCCCGTTCCACTTTTCCATTTTGCTGTGGTGTGTAGGGAACTGTTAACTGATGTCGAATCCCGTGTTTTTGTAAAATACCCGTAATTTCTTTATTTACGAATTCTAATCCATTATCCGTTCGTAATATTTTGACCTTAGAACCTGTTTCTGTTTCAACACTTTTTATGAACGTCTCAAAAATATTTTTAACATCATATTTATTTTTAATAAAATATACCGTTCTATAATGCGAGTAGTCGTCTTTGAATAACAAAAAGTATTTTGAACCGCCTATAGAGCTTACCTCCATTGGTCCACATAGGTCTGCATGAATTAAATCACCGACATTGTGATACTCCGTATTACTTTTACTAAATGATTTACGACTTTGTTTACCTATTATACAACTGCTGCACATGAATTCGTCGTCCTTGGCCGAACATACTATTTCGTGTTTCGCCAAACAACTTTTTACGTACTGTAAATTCTGATGTGCCATGCGCTCGTGCCAAACAGACAACCTGTTTTCGACAGCTACAGTCGCGTACCCGTTTGTCGGTACTTCGACCTTGATGTTTAACTCAAACAACCTTCCGCATCTCTTACCTGAGCATACGGGTTTCCCCTGTTTAGTTAACATACACGTCTTACTATTTGACGTCAATACTAAACCTTTATCCATCGCGGCACCGCACGAAAATAAATTAAATTTTAGTCCTGGCACGTGCAACACGTTTGCCATGTAATTTTTATTCCAATTACCGTTTACGTATGATAATATATTAATATTACCTCTACCTGCTGCATACAGATTTGTCCCATCACCTATCGTGATTTGTTGCGTGTTGTCCAGTGGTTCATAACTTGAAAACCACTCTCGATTTGCGCTCATATGATCCGACGCGCCCGAGTCTAGTACCCACGCATCTGTTGCAATATTATTTATTCTTGAATCGCTTACGAATGCGTTCAAGTTCGCACCTATAGTACCGGTTTTACCACCGTGTACACTTTGTAGAAAATTTCTACAGTCTCTTTTATAATGACCTAGTTTACCACAGTAATAACACTTAATATTACTTTTATTCGTAAATTGATTTTTACCTTTTCCATAATTACGACTGCCGTTTCTTCCATCAGATCTGTTTTGAAATTTGGCCGGAAATGCACTCGATTTCTCTTGTTCACCAACTTCCCCTTTGATCTGGATAACCCGTGATTCTTCAATCAACAATCGACTAGTCAAATTATTTATATTTTTACTTCCCGTTGGGACTGAATCCCAAGCACTGTAAAAATGATTATATTCTTTTGGTAGTGTCATTAGTATTTTTGTCATAACCATGTTATCCGTAACTGGTTCACCCGCTACACTCAGTTTCCTTCCTAAATTGACCAATTTAGAAATATGCGTCGACATGTCATCTGTCGACTCCTTTGAATAACTGAAAAATTGTTGTTGAAGCAAATGTATACTTGCCTCAGACTTCTGCTCGTAAATACTCAGCAGTTTCTCCCACATTTCCAATGCAGTCTCACAGTTAATCAAATATTGTAATGGACCATCGTCCACTGAGGTAACTATTATGTTCTGACATTTACCGTCCGCTTTTTGCCAAGCGCTAGTATGCCTTTGCCAACGTGCTTTGGCTTCCTCGTCGGTCTCTCCTGCCGACTTTTTTATAGGTAGACTTGGTTTCGTCCATTCGCCTGAAACTATCTCACCTACTTCCAAGGCATTTAAAATGACCTTCATCTGGAACTTCCATAACGACCAGTTTTCCGCACATAATTTTGTTATCTTCACCGTGTCTTCCATGACCGATGGATTCCCGTATACTTTCCTGTATAACAATTTATAACAAAACTTTACCTATGTACACTGTTCCGCCGTTTTCCGAAATCCAGGATATCTCCGACTGGTTGTAGTTTTCTGCGTTAATACAAATATAAAAATACTTCGATCACGAATCCACTAGACTGTATGTCTTGGTTATTGACTGGGCCCATAACCTGTTGAAAGTGAAGCTTGACGGACTAATGATGTTAGCATTAATATAATAAGTAATAACACGACAATATGATTATGTATAAGTATAATATATAATAACGTACAACTGGACAATTAACCTGTGACTATACACACACACCGCGTACACTCGGTATGACAGCGTCTGTGCAAGTGAATATTACATACATCAAAGGCCCTATATATATGCACGACCGAGGTCATGTTACATCCGTGAGAGAGTGAGTCTTATGCTCGTACATAACTAGTTACTAAATTGTACACACGTGTCAAGGCTGACTACATGTACTACATATTAATTGTATATTTCAACAGAAAATATTTATAACGCTTTAATAAAGCTAAGACAGTTATGCGAAAGTAACAAGTTAAAAAAGCTAACTGTATTTAAAAATGAGATAAACTATACCAAAGATAAATTAAATTGGGCACAAATAAGAGCTATGTATAGGGACATATTTAAGGGTACGCACGTAAACATACTAATATATTCCGAAATCGTAATGAGTAGCCAGGACAAAATAGATGTAATTAAATTATATCACGACTCACTCCTGGGAGGTCATTTAGGCGTTACAAAAACATTAAAAAGAATACGAACACAAATCCAATGGAAGGGAATGAGGAAGGATGTACGGCAATATATAGAAAAATGCGAATCGTGTCAAAAGAATAAAAATTCTAAAAATATTAAATTACCAATGGCAATCACTACGACATCAACAAAACCTTTTCAAAAGATATTTCTGGACATAGTAGGTAAACTACCCACATCTTATAGGAATAATTCTTATATACTAACTATTCAAGATGATCTAACAAAATTTTTATTAACAATACCTTTAGAGGACCATACAGCCAATACAATGGCTAAAGCATTTGTTACTAATTTCGTATGTATTCATGGGATACCTATGAATATATTAACAGATAACGGTCCTGAATTTGTAGGTGAAATATTCACAGAGGTATGTAAAATTCTTAAAATTTATAAAATGATGTCTAGTGTATATCGACCGCAAACGAACGGGGCTCTCGAACGACCTCATAAGGTAATAAAAGAAATGCTCAGGCATACAATAGATAAGCAAGCACAAAATTGGTGCGAGCACCTGCCATTCGTAACGTTTGCATACAATTCAGCTGTACATGAAAGTACCAACTTCCAGCCCTACGAATTACTGTATGGTAACCCAGTCGAGTTACCGTCACTTTTACAAAGACGAACCGAACCATGTTATACATATGATAATTATGCATATGAAATGAAACAAAAAATGCAAGCATCACACGAACTTGCAAGGGAACTGCTCATAAAAACTAAACATAGGACAAAGAAATACTATACAATATAGACGTAGACGTTTAACGGTTAAACTCGCTCCCGTGCTTTTTACTTATTACTCCGATAAATATAGACAGTTTTTTGTGTTTTTTATCTTGATCGATTCTAAAAAGTGCGCTTTCAGACCGGTGTCGTTTTTGAGTCGGTCTGACCAATACCCTCCCCTCAAGAGCAACTATTGTGGTTCCAGCTTATACACGGCCGCTGTAGAAACGTGAGTTCAATCTTATTTTTATCGGTACAAAGTTCCAAAACCCGAGTCAGTCGTTATCGCGTTATCTGAGAGATTAGACCCGCGCACTGACCCGCGTGTTATACACTGTGCGTTTTATAGTTTAAACAACATTGATAAATATAAATATAAACATATACATCGTGATGCAGTGATCGTTAGCTGTCCGCTCATTGACCCACATATCTCATCAGCCCGTCTTGTTACCTGCAGCTTTGGTTGCCTACCTCACCTTACAAAGCGTATTTATTTAAATGAGTCAGAGCTCACCCACAAGGATTTCCACCCGATCAACCACTGCTGGCAATATTGCTTCTGTAATGTCTGGCAAGTCTACTAAATCAGCCTCTTCTTCTTCCGGTCTGCTGACCCTTGATGTTTTTAACAACACTATGGCTGAACATCAAAGAACACAAAAAGAAACCCTGGCCCAGTGCAAACGCTGGTCCGAATCTCAAAATGCTCAATTTTCTGAACTCAATGAAAACGTAGGTCGTCTGTCCTCTCAGGTTGTTGAATTAAAATCTGAGAACGACAAACTCCAAAAAATCATCTCTAGTCTCAGCAATCGAGTCCAAGATCTTGAATCTGCAAACAATAATCGTCGTATCTCCTCGGCTGACACCTTTCCTAGCATTTTCCATGAGTTCACGGAACGTGAGCGCTGTTCTCGAAATGTCATTATTCGTGGTGCTCAAGAATCTTCTTCTTCTGTATTAGAAGATAGAGTCTCTAATGACGTCCTAAAAATAACTGAGGCTATCAAACCGTACTTTCCCGAATTACCATCTGACTTTAAAGCAATAAGGCTAGGTAAACCCAGTGATCGAGGTCCCCGACCACTCAAGGTTTTCTTCCAGTCTAAAGAAATAGCCCAGAAACTTGTCTCTGACTATAATACAAATATTAGATCTTCTCATACTGACAATATGCGCCATCCCATTTCGGTTACTCGTGATCGCACTCCTTGTGAGCGTGAAGCAATTCGTCGCGTATACACTGATTTGGAAAATCGTAAAAAGAACGGTGAATCTGACTTAGTAATCAAATACAGAGATGGACTCCCCTATATTGTACCGGCCCGCAGATCATCCCAGGACAGACGCCATCAAACATCGAACTCGGCCTTTACCCAATCAAAAAACTAGCAGTACTAGACTTGTCGCTACCTAGGCAAGCACTCCTTCGCCTGAACAAAACTGGAAAAAATGACTCATGCTACTACTCCTGCTTAACTGATCCACTCTGCAATTGTATGTATAACATTAAACTTCGTTCTTCAAATTGCTCACGCTGCTACACTGCTAAACTAACTCTAGATTCTTTCTTGCAAGACTTCACTAACCTAAAAGCCTCATTTTGTAAACCTAATAATTTTTCTAATATTTGTAATAATAACTTGTGTGATAATACCCTTAATTCTAACCTTAAAATATTCTATCAAAATGTTCGTGGCCTTAAAACAAAATTAGTTAGCCTCAGATGTTCTTTCCCCATGTTTCACTTTTATGATATCATTATCCTCACAGAAACCTGGCTGACTTCTGACATAAATGACAGTGAACTTGGTTTCGCTGGCTTTCAAGTAATAAGACTTGATAGAAACCATAATAACAGCACTTCTACCCGAGGTGGCGGAGTTCTAATTGCTATCAAGAATACCCGTTCCTTTCAACCTATTTCACTAACCGTATCTAATGTTGAACAAGTATTTGTATTATTGTCACTAAACTGTGGCCACTTATTGGTAGGAGGTGTATACTTACCCCCTCGATCACCCCTTTCTGTAGTTGAATCCCATACCACTTCTGTTGAACACATCATTTCCTCTTATAAACCAAATTCCCTAGTCATATGTGGTGATTACAATCTCCCTAATATCAACTGGTCTTCTGATGAATTAGGATTAATCGGGACTAATGATCCCAGTATAATTTCCACAACTATTATTGATTCTTTTTCTTACCTTAATTTTTTCCAGCATAATTTCTTCCAATTTCCAATCTTTCCAATTTCAATCCAGGACGTTTTGACCAGCTTCATTGAGTGGCAAAATGGGGAAGGGGCTCTAGAGGGGCACGAAACCCCATGCCACTTGCTCTTTCATTCTGTACAATCGGAAACTGTAATAATAGATACCTTAACCGCAATATTATTTAAAGTAATAGTAAATTAAATTTAAAAAAAAAATAATAATATATAATAAGTAAATAAATAAAATGTTCTATTGTATGACACATATTATTGTATAAATCACTGTAACCCGAAAATGAGTGCTGTACGAATTGACAAAGCATTTTTAGGGCACTTCATAGATCAGCTAAGGATAACAATGAACCATCAATTCCATGAGAATCCAAAGGATTCATATAGGTATTATAATTCATCTTGCTTAAGGGATCACATTAGTACCACCAGACCTCTAACTGTTGTCCTACGACTAATATTCAATATTCATACTTTACAAAAAATAATTGCATTACTCTGGTGGTATAATTATTTCCTTAAATTATGTTAGTACATACACAATACAATATTTTACATTTTTTTTTTTTTTAATTATTATTATTATATGACAAATTCACAATGATACAACATATACAAAAAATAGTTTTTAAGCGTAACCCTTACATCAACATAATCAGTAGTTTTTTTATAATCATTTTCTTAAGGCCTAAATACCCATACAACACCATGCATGGAGCTCTACTCGCCCTATTTTTCGGAGTTGAAAGGTATATAAAGCTACATAAATGCGCGGTTATTAAATCTATTTGATCCTTTGTGAAAGGGCCCCCTAGCTCTGTGTTGGTGGTACTAATGTGATCCCTTAAGCAAGATGAATTATAATACCTATATGAATCCTTTGGATTCTCATGGAATTGATGGTTCATTGTTATCCTTAGCTGATCTATGAAGTGCCCTAAAAATGCTATGTCAATTCGTACAGCACTCATTTTCGGGTTACAGTGATTCATACAATAATATGTGTCATACAATAAAACATTTTATTTATTTACTTATTATATATTATTATTTTTTTTTTAAATTTAATTTACTATTACTTTAAATAATATTGCGGTTAAGGTATCTATTATTACAGTTTCCGATTGTACAGAATGAAAGAGCAAGTGGCGTGGGGTTTCGTGCCCCTCTAGAGCCCCTTCCTCATTTTTCCACTCAATGAGGGTGGTCAAAACGTCCTGGATTGCAAGTAACCTTGTATGATTTAAGAGAAACCCGCTTCTCCGATTGGCTCTCTCCAAATGCTTTAGCAGGCAGACCGGCGTTTGACTACCCTCACGTAATTGTGTGGTATGTTCGTCCTCGTGTAATGTATATCGGAGATGGTCCATAAACTTAACTAGGTCTCGTGCCGTGCTCATATTTTTCCCTATTAAATATTTTATAATGTAGTTACGTCTACTCTAGGAATTACTATTCTATGACTACGGTATTTTTGTTTGTGTTTATAAGCACTATATAGACTATACACTATCATTATTCCTAATATTATACATAATATTATAATTATTTTTGTATGCATACCACTGGTTGTTTTCAATATACTTTTATCTTTTTCCTCCTGGACAGCGCTTTCCAATTCCTCGATGGTTTTGGAAAAGTCACTAATATCGTTCAGCTTGACTATTGGATTTTGGTGAATAAGTAAACTGTCGAGTTTAGCGCTGGGTAGTAATGGAATTTTTACACTAGTGGGTATGTTCACTGGTGGAATGAAATCGGTATACTGAACGGACTTCAAGTGCCTGTTAGGTGTACTACACTACTACTTGTGGTGTATGTGCCCTGCATTGTTCACTTAATGTTATTATACCTACGCCCCTTAGTTTAAAAATAGAGCTTACCTCCATTGGTCCACATAGGTCTGCATGAATTAAATCACCGACATTGTGATACTCCGTATTACTTTTACTAAATGATTTACGACTTTGTTTACCTATTATACAACTGCTTCACATGAATTCGTCGTCCTTGGCCGAACATACTATTTCGTGTTTCGCCAAACAATTTTTTACGTACTGTAAATTCTGGTGTGCCATGCGCTCGTGCCAAACAGACAACCTGTTTTCGACAGCTACAGTCGCGTACCCATTTGTCGGTACTTCCTTGATGTTTAACTCAAACAACCTTCCGCATCTCTTACCTGAGCATACGGGTTTCCCCTGTTTAGTTAACATACACGTCTTACTATCTGACGTCATTACTAATCCTTTATCCATCGCGGCACCGCACGAAAATAAATTAAATTTTAGTCCCGGCACGTGCAACACGTTTGCCATGTAATTTTTATTCCAATTAACGTTTACGTATGATAATATTCAGTTCCATTCGATAAGCCGATGTAATCGGTCGTGTGTGTTTAGTGTTATATTTCATTAGACTTAATAATGGCAGTGTGTCCGAAATGCAAGGTTGCGGTTTCGCGGAATGAGTCCAGTACTCAATGTTCGACATGTAAAAACGTACTTCATATTAAATGCGCAAACATGAATTCAGATAGCATTGATTACATGAAATCTAATAACATTGCCTTTGACTGCGAGGACTGTACCAAAAAACTGAAACAAAAAAGAGATGACTCCAGTCAAACCGATTCCACAAACCCAAGGTATACACATTAATAAAATAACAATTGACTCTGATATTAATATAATCGTCAGCAAACTAGACGATGTGTTAAAAAACCAAATAACTACAAATAATACTCTTACAACTCTTAGCAATAGAATTCTAGAGCTAGAAAAAACACTAAAAGAAAAAGAAAGTATTATTCAAACTTTAGAATTTAAAATTAATGTTCTGGAGCAAAACGAGAGAGCTTGTTTTATCGAAATAAGTGGTATTAAAAAAGAAAATAACGAAAATGTCGAAACACTAGTTAATGATATAGCTTCCAAAATTGATATTGATCTTAATCTTTTTGACGTTGAAAACGCATACAGAAAACCTTCACGACAAAACTCAGAAACGCCTCAGATAGTAGCAGAATTCTCGTCTAAAAAGAAACGTGATGAATTTTTAAAGAAACGTGGAAAAATTGAATACAACGGCTAGAGGATTTTTATCAATGAAAGCTTAACGGCATACAATAGGAAGTTATTCTGGGAAACCCGAACAAAGGCAAAAGAACTTGGCTACAGATACACTTGGACCTCAAATGGGAGAATATTTTGCAAAAAGGACGAATTGGCCAAAAAAATACAAGTTAGAAATAATGATGATTTACATTTTTTATAATTTTATTTTTGCTGTTTTACTTTTTTTTCTATAACGGGTATAAAAATTATATTGTAAAACTATTTCTTATATTATTATCATACAATATTATTAACTCACTTAGCTTTAAATTTTTATTGAACATAAACATACGGTATATATGCAACCGGCAAAATATGATGATTCATATATCTCCCACTATAAATTCTTTTTTAAAACACTACATCGAATTTCAACGATTTTGCATTATTCCTCTTGTATTATAAACACACACTTTTATCTAGGTCATGTTATCGACATAATTACGTACACTAACATTTTAATATTTAAACATTGGTATAGACTAATGATTTTTTTTTCCATATAAACCATAATATCATTAGATGATAGAATTAAATACAGATTTTATAGACCCTTACATCATAAACAATAACATGAATATAGTTAACACCGATTTGAATGAGTATATAACAAGCATTAAGAATAACCATCTAAATCTCTTGCACATGAATATTAGTTCTTATAATCATAACATAGATGAAGTCTGGTGTCTGATAAATGACTCAATTAGTAGCTTAGATATTATAATATTTAGTGAAACTTGGAACAGCACGGGGTTTGTCCCACAAGATATAACTGGTTTTTTGAATTTTAAAAGTAAAAATAACTTTAACCAAAATGATGGAGTTCTTATCTATATAAATAATAATCTTCGCATTATATTGGTTGAACAACAACCATTGTTCTCTGAGGCCAGTTGCTTAAAAATAAATCTAAAAGCAAATAATAAACTAATTACGATACTAGCCACATACCGTTCCCCAAAATCGAATATAAACATTTTTCTATCTGAACTGAATACTTTACTTACCTCAGGTATCTTAGAAAATAATTGTATATGGATTGGTGATATAAATATTGACATTTTAGAATTAAATACGAAAGGAATTAATGAAACCAAATCCTGTATTGATCACTTATTTAGTAGAGATGTGCATCTTAATACTGTTGTAATTAAAACCAGTATAACGGATCATTACACAATCATAAGTAGTTTGATAATATCGCCGAATATTAAAAAACATAATATAGATAGTAGAAATAATAATACTGCATCATATATAAACTATAATAAAGTAGTTCAATTATTATCTATCAACGAATGGACTGGTTTATTTGAAACCAGTAATCCCTCGGCAGCATTAAACAATTTTAATGGACATATTTTAGATACTATAAATAACTGTATAGTTACAAAGCATCATATGAGTACGAAAAATCGTAAGCTAAAACCATGGATATTTAATGGTCTTGTAATATCTATAAAAAATAGAGATAAACTAAATATGAAAACTAAGAGGGATAAAACCAATCTTAAATTATTAAATTACTATAGAGCATATAGAAATAAACTAACAATATTAATTCGGAAGGCAAAAACAGTTTTATATAAATAAAATAGAGACATGTAGAGGTAATGGAAGAGAAATCTGGAAAGTAATTAATGAACTAACATCTAGAAAAGAAATCTCGCCTAAGCTTCCAATTTACGATATAATTGAGAATAAATACCCAACATCATCACCAAAAAACTACTTAAATATAGTTAACTCATATTATGCGACAACTGGTAAAAGATTAGTAGAAAAAAATGTCTCCAATAGTGTAAATAACATACAGTCTAATTTGGGAACAAAAATTAATAATATATCAAATAAAAAATATATATTTAAGATAAATACCATCGGTAGTAATGAAGTCATAAATATATTAAATAAATTGAATAACAACTCAGCACCAGGCCCGGATGGTTATACAGCTCTCTTTATTAAACAAATAGGAGACAATGTGAACCCACCTATCGTTCATATAATTAATTGTAGTATAGTCAACGGTATAGTACCCGATGAATTGAAAATGGCTAAAATTGTACCA